ATATTTGTACATTTTTAAAGGTTCTTTTTTTAACGTTAGTAAACTATGAAATAACTTTAATGATCAATATAATAATTAATATTAATATGTTTATTCATTTACAAAGTATGGTTCAGTACTGCTACTGCTTTTTTAAAAATAGTAAAGCTCTGTTTTAGTTTTCGTTTACCATTTTAAAAACTATCGGTTGATTAATCGGTATCGGCCAGTGTGGTCCAACCTAGCTATCGGTATCGGTAAAATCCACTATCGGTCGACCTCTAATACAAACAACAGTGAAATATCTCTAAGCTCAGAAATATGCTTATAGCATGTGAACATGGTCATAATTAACCCAGTTTATGCCATATTTAAATTATTAAAATGAAATAATCTAATATGCTAGATGTAAATTGGGACCTTGTTTGGAACATTTGTACATAATCAAAAACTGCTCATCAGTTGAAACACCAAGTTGGTGCACCGAGTTTATGTGACACCATGATGCTCTTACATGAAGTCAAATGCTATAGATGCAAAAACTGTAATACATACAATACTGGGACTGTGAAGTGATTATTTGCAAATGTTTTGCCAATGACCTTATATTCTGGTTCTGTGGAATTATAGCTAAAAAACGGTAACACTTTACAATAAGGTTAAATTTGTTAACATTAGTTAACCATATTTTTGTTAACATGAACAAAAAAAAACCTTCTAAAGCATTTATTAGTCTTAATTAAGGTTAGTTTAAAAATTTACTAATACATTATTAAAACCAAACGTTGCATCTGTTGGTATTATTTAAACCACCTGAGCTGACATGAACAAACAATGAACCGGTTGTATTTTTATTAACTAACATTAAGAAAGATTAACTAATGAGATTTAAAGATTAACAGATATAATGCTCATAGCTAGTTAACGTTATTTAATGCATTAAATAACTAATGAGATCTTATTGTAAAGCGTTACCAAAAACTTGACTTAATAAAAAATAAAAATCCACCGTGCTTGATGGATATAACCCACAGTTGACACACAGGACATGTCAGTTACAGCAGTGTCCTGCAGTGTGACTTGCTATACTCCATCTAAAACTATTTTAAACAATATATTTTTTAAATTCTTGTATAATTATTATGCATAGTTTTGCATACCTCCAGTAAATACAAAATCATTTACCGCATCTAAAATATGTACTCTCGCGATTTTTGAGTTCATGTTGAACTGCGATTTTCTCTAAAAAAAAATAAAAACCAGAAGTATAAGTTAACGGTGCAACACATAGCTGACATATGAACTCTGTAGAGGATGGCTCCAATTCACTTTGCCCCTAAAATGTCTGGCGGCATGATAAACTTGCATATTGACGGCTTACCTGACTGTAAGGTATTTCCAGAAGCTTGAACTGATTAGTGTAGAAACTACGGAATCACTTGCACCGTGAGCACCCCTTGAGTGTAAATTCGCATTCAAATGCTCTGTGTGTCTCTTCCACTGTGGTAATCGATCGAAGAACGGAACGCTTGGAGGCGCACACAATGAATACGTCTGCAAATGATTGTCAGGTTGATTATTTGCTCAGTGATCAGTGTGGTTTTCCATGCCTCGCTGAGTTTTCCAATCCCGGTTATCCTATCACAGCTGCCGCAGAATCCGCACGCGCTGCCTTTTTACATCGTCGTGCGCTCAGAGCCGCAAGCACGCACCCACATCGCGGCCACATAGTACCAGCTACTCGCCTCCTCTTCTTCACAGGCGGTGAATCAGGTCAGAGAGGAGGTGTCCTGTTTTTTGTAATGTTGTCAGGAGACCTGTCTGTCTCTTCTCTCTTCGCGTATACGGCGCGTGTCTCGCATCCCTGCGCTTCACAGCAACAGCAGCAGCCGCGCGTCAGCACTGCCTACAGTTCTCACACAGACACAGCACGACACATATTATTAAATAAATAAACCGAGATGATATCAATAAAACGCGACTGCTCGAACAGTAGGCTACATTCTGCTCTCTTTTATAGAACACTATGGCAAGCAATCAAAAATACTTTTGTCACATGGCAGTAGCCCGGGATGAGGAGTCAGAAAGGAAATCTGTTTTTGGTTTGATACAAAAATACATTACATTAACTAATTTAATTAATTGAATGGACAAAGTTACGACGCAGTGCTGAATTTTAGTGTGCTTTGATTGTGTGTGTTTTTTCCTAAGAGCTACATTGCAAAGCCATACAATAGTTTGGGGTTATTCATTTATTCGCGAGAATCGCGACTTTGCATAAATGTACGTAAAGCCATTGTGCGTTGCATGTATGACTGATATACAGTAGTCTAAACATGCAGCACTCAACTTAGGGCATAGGCGTTATTTAATATTGATAGACAGACATAACGAAATTTATTCTATAAATCGTAATCGCTTACTTTAAGGATGAACTCGCCTTGACCAAGCACGATACAGATGCCGATCGGAAACAGACCACGTGAGCGTCATTGTCTGTACACCAAGTTGATCAAGTTACATTTTTCTCAACTCTGTCTTTTTCTCAACCCCGACATACTGTTGCTGTCGCTCAAGTCGCCAAATCGTTGAAAATGAGTGAGTTTGGTCGTTTCACTGGAAGTCGCTGGCGGTGAACCTTGGCTTTCTCGGCCTAGTGATGTTAGATTCGTAAACAAATCGTTTTTTTTAATTGAATCTTTTCGATTAATTACTTGAACTAGTTAACTAGTTTCGCAAAAAGCTGCGCGGTTCTTCATTCACTGACACACTACACCGCAATTCATTTGCATTTATTAATTTACCAGATGAATAATCTACAAAAATGAGATTTATCAGCTCGCAGTGATCCAGGTTAACAACTCACCGAATCATTGAACTGAACTCATTAACATGTTGAGTGAAGGAAGTGAATCCGGAAATGAATAAATTAACATATTGTAGGCCTATTTCCACAGCCATTTGTATATAAAACGGGATTATTTAAAGTTTTAGTTCGTTTATTTATTTATTATTTTTATTTAATGAATTATTAATTAATTAATTTAGTTGCACATTTATTTATAGGCTATATTGTGTAAAGTTGATTACGCTGAATTATCAAATTTTTTAATGATTATTTTCATAGGTTTGGTCCTACAGAACCAAGAACAGTCTGTTTGTTTATATCCATGCACATTTACTTATATATTTATTACTGTATGAATATGCGGCTGTAGTTATTTATTTATTTGTTTATTTCAAGTTTTGTCCTCCAAAATCGACAACAGTCTATTTCAGACATTTCTGATTCATGATAAATTGAGAACTGATAAGTGCGCTGATAGTATAAGAAATCTGTAGTGAACCGAACATTTGAATGATGGGATGAAAAGATATGTTAATGTTATAGCAGAAATGCTACAAATAAAGCACATTGGTAGTATGTTTATTTGATTCTCAGAGTCTTTCAAGCTATAGGCCTATATATTAAGGAGTTTGGGTTGGCATGAAACCAAATATTTCTCACATTATGAAAAATATAAATTTTGTCTGTTTACCCACCATGTGCCTTCTACTATTATCCATCCATTCAGTCTATATATATCAGCTCCTGATTGAGGATTCTTTAGCTCTATGATAACGATTCACATGCTAGCTGTTCCCCTGCCAGCTCATTGGAATGAATGAAACTTTATCCCTTCTGATCCAAGGCTGATCTCATCCTTCTGAAGACATTTCTCACCCACAGACCCCCGACTCAAAAGGGAATACAGAGAGTTCATGCAGTACTTCATCTAAGCTCTATTCATGCCCTGCACTGAATAAAGCTTCTGTCTGGTTGATCCATTTGCATGTTGAACTGTACGTCTTATTTACTGAGTGTCTTCTAGTAACAAGTTCTGACAATGATCAGACATTAATAGATCTCATATGACAACAAGCATGATTTATTTTTTCCATGAAATTACATGTAAAACTTCCTGAAATGCAAAGATCTGGAATAATAAAAACATTAATAAAGCTTCTGTCTGGTTGATCCATTTGCATGTTGAACTGTACGTCTTATTTACTGAGTGTCTTCTAGTAACAAGTTCTGACAATGATCAGACATTAATAGATCTCATATGACAACAAGCATGATTTATTTTTTGATTGTAAAACTTCCTGAAATGCAAAGATCTGGAATAATAAAAACATTTTTCTTCGGTGCCAGTTCTGATGATGTATCACCCAATGACTGCTGAACAGCTATTTCTTGTTCTAATGTGATGATTCATGCTGATCAAACATTTTTGCAAAAAGCATCTTACTGCCAGCTGACTCTCTGTACTGCTTCAGGCCAGTAAAATGCAGTACAGGATACAGGGCTATTTTGGAGGATGAATTATTCCACTGGTAAAGCAAAGCATATTTAATATGAAGTCACAGTTTGGGAGGGAGGGAGTGGAGGACGGGTTAAAGGTTGGTTTCTTGTGGCTGTTGGGCCCCAAGTTACTGTCAGGTCTGATCAGTCTCCTCCACTTTTACTGGTTAGAAAAAAAGTGAACCCAACCTGGAGGCCAGAGATGGGGCCTCTCTACTCTTCTTCATTCAAAACATTGATGCTGGACAGACAGAGACATTTTGCTCCCTCAAACCATGCTGAATACAGTCTTATTGTGGAGTCACTGGCTTGCCAATCAAACATGTTCTGAATTACTTGGGAAACATTTCTTATCAATGTTAATATAAGGCCTTAATATGAGTGTATATGATTTTAAACATGCAAAAATGCTATTTCATTTAGTGAAAACCGTTTGATGAGAAAAAAATACTGAGTGCACCGTTAAAGTGACAAATTCAGAAATGTGAAAAATTAAAAGAAAAAACAAACAAACAGAAAAACAGCTGACATTTGATATTTTTTACATTGTTTTATTGGGATTTAAGGTGAACATATATTTCATGAAAAACTCCTTCTGGCCATGGATTCACATGAAGCACTGAAACTCTGAGTGTCAAGATTCCAGTCAGCACTTTCCTCTTTCCTCTCTTCAGATATCGCTAAACTTCCTCGGGATTAAAGACCTCTCAGGACTCCAGTTTGCGGTAAATATCACAGCCAGTGACTTAAATGGTTTAGAAAAGTGAGGGCATTATAATCACACCTTAAACTGGTCAACATGCCAGACAACATTTCTATTTCTTCTAAGTTTAAAAAAGCTGAGCCTTGTTCATCTACACGAGCAGAACAAATTTATGTTTAAAATTACTCAGAAACCCATTCTAATAATGCACTACATTCAATTTTGTGCAAAAATGTACATAACATTTGGTTTGCAAACGTCTTACTCAGGTATTTGTTCTGCTTTTGTTTCATCAATAAGGCCCATTGACAGACACTTTTCGCCACATGTCTATATTCGTCATGGTAGTGTTTCAAGTTCAAGTTCCCACTGGGCACATCATTTATAAAAATGGTCTCTGCAATTATTATTGACTCACTACGAGGTATTAAGGATGACTTAATAACTCCAGTAATTTCAGGCCATGACCCTCAATGGCACCAGTCATTTAAAATGAGGGCTATTATGGAAGAACAAAGGCCATTAGATTGGTTCAAAGACCCAAAGAAGATTATTTTAACAAAAAATTCACCACTGAACTGTTATTGGTTATTCTCTATATTTGTGAATTACCAATAGCATTCACAGTGAGAGAGAGAGAGTATGAGTGATCATATGTGTAAATGTCATATCAGGCAACAGGTAACATTTAAGAAAAAAAAAAACAATCAATTGACAGTAAAGACATTTATAAAGTTACAAATAATTTTTATTTCAAATAATTGCTGTTCTTTAGAACTTTCTATTTATCAAAGAATCCTGAAAAAAATACATCACGGTTTCCACAAAAATATTAAGCAGCACAACATTGATAATGTTTCTTGAGCAGCAAATCAGCATATTAGAATGATTTCTGAAGGATCATGTGACACTGAAGACTGGAGTAATGGCTGCTGAAAATTCAACTTTGCCATCACAGGAATAAATTACATTTTAAAATATATTCAAATAGAACATAGGTATTTTAAATAGTAATAATATTTCACAATATTACAAAAAAATATAAATTCTCCTTTCATTTTTTTAAAGGGAAAGAACAACAGCATACAAGTTTGACCAAATTTTGACTTTTTTGCGAACTGTTAAAATCTAAAAATCTAGATTTTATGTAGTCTAGTAATGAGACATTTCAGGTAAATGTTTCAAGTAAAATTACAGTGAGAGAGCTGAAGCCTTTCTGAATTTACTGCGGGGAATCATGAGAATGTTGATGAGGTCCAGTGACAGCTCATTAATTCACTGCACATACGCTCCATATCACAGCTCATTTTCAGACATTTAAAAACATGATGAATTGACCATCAGTATAACATCTCACATTTAAATCAAGGCTGAGAAATGCTAATCGATGCACTGATTTGTAGACATGCAGTCATGTGTGAAATGGGTCTGACATTTTCATGTTAGTTCAGGGTTTGACTCACCAACGTCTCAGCTGCAGTTTAACTCTATATTCTAAGTAAAAACTTCATGTGCATCACATAAGAAATTCCCTGTGAAGATTCAAACTTTCTCTGTCTCTTCAAAACTTCATCTGACCTTCAGTTGATGAACTGAAGAGAACTACAGCGAACCAAGTAGCTTAGAATTTGAAACCACAAATTAAAGTCCGCATTGGTTTCATATAACATGTTACCACTTAGTCTGTGATATAATGTATAAATAGCCTACAGTGGTCCAAAAGTCTGAGACCACATTAAAATCACATTGGTGGGAAGAAAGAACACAAGCTTTTACATAAAAGGAAATGTCTGCATGACTTCTAGGTCAATAATACAATGTAACACTTGATATTTACTTTGTTTATCTCCTTT